TAGATATGGCCAGTCTACGGCTTCAGCTTGCTTATTCTACCAGATATTTGGATCTTGGTTCTCTGTTGGATAACGTAATTTCAAATCTTATCCTTCAGGGAAACTACGAGAATAGCTCGATCCATAGTTCGCCGAGCGAGTTTTAACTGGTGGAAAATGATAACATTAAAAAAAATATACATTTTTGAGGTCCAATACGAAAACAGATTTAAATTTGTTGAGAATTAAAACAAACATAAAAAACACGATTTAGAATAAAACAGCAAGACTTGTTTATGACATTATAAATGTACTGACGCTTTATAAGCTTCGTACATTTTGCTAAAGCCGTGTTTTCACTATACGAGTGCTCTCGGACCGAGTTAGATCGTATAGGAATCCACTGGGATTTCGGTTTACCCTGTTTCCTTGAACAATCAAGGTGACGGACTGATCTGCTGCTGCGAGGTGGAGGAGTTGCAGCAGATATGTTAATCGCTGGAATACAAACTCATGAAAGGGGAAAAACAAAGCAAGAGAAAAATTTGGACCAGAAAATGGATTTTAAGACATGATTTCTTCTTTTTCATGAGGTTCTTCAAAATAATTTTAAAAAGAAATATAAAAACACGTTTAAAACCTTTTATTCTCACGTTATTCCACTTTTTCTTAGTTGGCGCCATTTTGTTTTTATTAAATGATCCGAGTATACTCGTAAAAATAGAACGGCGTCCGAGTCCACTTTGATCGAATTAGGCTTGTATAGTTCATGAACTACGAAATATTAGGAATATATTCCCTTCACTGACCAACATGAACTAGTTCGTCTTGCACGGTTTTAATAGTTCATCGTTCATTTTAATTCAGTACGAACTAGGAACTGTCTATCTATATTATGTATATATACAAGCTTGCAAAAAAGTAATATTTTTTGGTAGGTATCTGTATGTATAATATCAACCTACGTCTACGAGTATATGAAATAGTTGTACCTAAATATTCATTTTTAAACACACCATTCTAACAATTTCTTATTTTGTAAAAAAAAAAGGATATTTAGTTAGAATGACAGTCTTTAAACCTGTAAAATATGGAGGAAAATCAATTAGTACCGATTCCAAACAAATTGTATTTTTAAATATTTAGTACAGTGTAGTATTGACCTCATTATACTAGAAGTCCGTAGTAGTTAAATGTGAATAAAATTACTAGTTTGGAGCGTTCGCTCAATGCAAGGACATGACGAACTAAGGAACTAGATGAACTAAATGAACTAGAGGACCGACCTAGTTCAGTTGACCGATTGAACTAACTAGGATCGCTCCCGGTAAGGACCGATCGGGCACAAGTCTAGATCGGATGCCGGTGTCCGAGTACGCTCGGAGCACTTGTTTACACGTTACGAGTAGCGTCCGTCCATCAACCATCCAAGTGGACTCGTTCCGAGCCTATTCGTATAGTGAAAACACGGCTTGAACTTTAAAGGGAACGGCAACCCTCCACCACCGGATTTATTAAACTAATATTTCGGATGTGAGTTGTAATATTGAAATTCATTCATTTCAGGTTCGTTTTAAGCATATGTATATAGGAGTTTTTTAAGTAATTTAATATTTCGGGTCAAATGCATAATTATTAATCGGTCAGTACGAACGTAATACAAAATATTTAGTATTTAAAGTTTATTAAAAGGAATATTGTTTAATACCAGTAGAACTCCCTGTGAAAGAGTTCGTCCAGGGAAGTGCTACCTATTTCTGCCGTCAAGCCGTTATGTGAGTGTTACTGCGTTCTGGTTTATAGTAGAGAAACGTAAGCTTATATTTGATGAGAAAAAGAATTATTATTATTACATAACGACCTAGAACCGTTATTTTCTCATAAGAAAATATTAATTAAACATGGAAAACGAACCGAAACATGGATTCATAAATGAAATACTCAAAATAATATTACGTTAATAAATTTCGTGAATAAATCATTTTTAATAGTAGTAGAGCTCCTTGTGAGTTCGTCCAGGGAAGTACTGCCATCCTACCCATTTCTGCCGCCAGGCAAGTATTATTGCGTTTAGTTTCTGAAGTGTGCTGGCGAAATTACAGGCACTCGTCAAGTTGTCTCAGGATTTTTTTTTATAACACCAAGTCACGGGACGAACGAGTCGTGCAAGCCTGGTGGTAAGTGACACGCCTGTCCCTATGCCACTCAGAGCCTTAAATCGCAAAGATCTGAGGGGCACTGCCATTGCGGCCGTCACCCTGGGACATAAGTTGACAAGTCTCATGTGCTTGTAATTTCGCCAGCACCCTTCCAAACCGGAACGCAGTAATGATCAAGTTACTGCTTGGCGACAGAAATAGGTAAGGTAGCAGTACTTCCCTGGACCAAATCTTTCACAAGGAGCGCAGGATGACGGGCGCTGTGATAGTGCCTCTCATGAGTCAAAGTCAAAGTTTATATTTGCAAGGATACATAAAAACACATGTTTTTCAAGATCTTATAAAAACGTAATAGTAACAGTATTCAACCTGCATTCAGGTATGCAAATTATTTCAGTTAAAATTAATTTACATATATCATAAAATAAAATTAAAAATTAATCAGTCCTAAATTCTAAATATTCTTTTATAGTATAAAAACAGTGGTCCATTAGCCAAGATGCTAAAGTTTTTTTTAAATTCGTGTCCCCTTAAGTGTTTTATGTGGTTTGGCAAATGGTTATATGTTTTAATTGACATGTTAAACAAATTTCTTTCATATATGATTTTAAAGCAAGGAGGTTGATACAAAAGATTCATTCTTTTATGATCTTTGTGAATTAAAATAGTTTTGCAACTGTTACGGGTATACACATGTCGTTTGTCATCATCCGTACGACTTATTCATCCTATTACTGGATAATAAAAAAAATGTATGCCGTATATCAATGATATTAAATTATCCTCTTGGTGTTTGAATGGTGCGTTCCCACGGCCCGCGATGTCAAACGCGGCGTTTTTTACGGACGAGTTCGAGAAACGGGCAAGTCCGGGCGGCCTCGGGCCTACGCGTGGGGTGGCGCGTATTCTAATTTATACCGAGAGGTGGGAGTGTAGTTGAAGAAATACTATTTGCACCTATTAATGCTATCTCTTGGAACGGCTTATCCTTTCTATTACAATAGGGTAATAAAACCATCAACACTTCTTTTACTTAAAGCGTACACGGATTTTAAGATCTTGGTCCATCGTAAAACGTAGTCATGGGTGTCTTAAATGCTTTTTCTGATTTCTGGTTTCGCCATTTCGCCGGTCGTAACATGCGGTTCCTGAACACATCATAGAGAGCTTATAATATGTGTGTCGATAAAGCAGTATATGTAACTGTACATAATAATTAGGCATTAAAACACTCGTGAGATGTTTCTATGAAATCGTTTTCATACACCCTCGTTTCATACACCCTCACTCGTTTTTAATGCCTTTCATTATGTAACAGTCACACAAACTACTATAATTACCGATGAAATGTGATTCCGTTTGTTTTGTACTTAGATGTATCGCTGTTTTTCCCACACCACCTAATGGAACAGCCTCCACTTGTTAGAGATATTATCTTTATTACAATAAATACAGAATATTTTTGGAATATACGGAGGTGCTCATAGATCAGTTGTTGGCGCTGTTGTCAGCTTTCTAATTTGTGATTACAGCTCAAAGAGAGTTGATATTTAAAAGTGATATAAGGACCATTTGCTTGATGAGTTGCCAGGGATGGATGACCCTTATTTCGTCTCTATTTCTGGTTATATACCTACTCGATGTTTGCACTATACAGATGGCACGGGCGTTACCGAAACGGTTCACTCTTTTGTCCTACTGTACTCTAAAGATGAAGCGATGAGATGAATCGGTGCAAATAATAGGTAGGTAGATGCGATAAGGAACCATCTTACATATTGAAAGCAAGCTTCGGACACGTTATTATCAAGTATTCGCACAATTTCCGTGTACTCAACATTAGAGCATGGATCGATATACACGGCGCGGGCGCTGGCGCAATAATGACCATACGAACACCCAAAGTCACGAGAGAACTATCGCACTATTATTACAACAGTGTATTAATTCAAAAAGTGTATTTTTTTCGGAATCGTAGAAAAACAGGTTACTCATTTCCCGTGAATTTTTTCACGTGTGTATTAAAATCTATGTATAGGTTTAAAATTGTTAAAAACATGACACACGTTCTCACTTGTCGAATTCCGAACAATTGTACTAAATCTATGAATTCCGATCGTAATTAAAAGTTATGTTGGAGGGGGTGTTACAAACGTTAGTAAACCATCAACAGTGACTCACGGCGTCATCTTTTAACCGTTTCTTACAATATTCTAATACAATATTCTAATATGACGCCTGTATTGACGTGTATAGAATCAAATTTCACGTTAAAAAATAGTATAATCATGAATTTCACATATTTTGAGTTACAACACTATTGAATAGCATTGCGAAATCTAGACCGGGAATCGAACCCAGGACCTCTGCGTGATAGACCATTATGGTAACCGTTCGACTACGGAAGCAGTTATGGGTTGATGATAAATGTCCTATTTATTCGTTCGTCGTATTTTTAACTCTCTCCTGAAAAGTTGTCATTTTGCTGATAGGACCTTATTACACCACGGGTGTGAATTGCTAAACAAACAATAAGCATTATAATTTGCAGTTACACTATAAATGTAATCTAGCTATACTTCAGTGTGTTCTGTAGTATAGAGCTCCTTAGTCTTACTTATTTCTGCCGCCAGGCAGTAATGTCAGCATTACTGTGTTCCGGTTTTGAAGGGTAAGGGTGCTGGTGAAACTACAGGCACATGGGACTTGTCAACTTATGTCTGAGGGTGTCGGGCGCAGTGGCAGTGCCCCTCAGATCTTTGCGATATAAATCTCTGATTGGCGCTGCAATTGTTATGGACAGCTATATACAATTTAAAAAAACATTAGTTACTAATCCTTGTTTCAATTGTTCCAGAAGCGGCGCCATGATCGACCCCAGCTCTTCGGAGGAGGACAGCGATGATGAACACAAGAAGCAACCCTCCAAGCTGCCTGGTAATGAGTCTTTATAAAGGAGTCTACAAAGCAAAGTGACTATGTGACCTGGTTATTTCATTGTCCATGGACGCTAAGTACCAAACCACTATTCAGAACTATGAGGACACCACATGGAAAAGTGGCTGTAGCATTTTGATGTTTGGTTACAATTAACTCTTACAGACTCGATTTACAATGCTGAGGAATGAAAGAAAGAGGTGGCGAACTTCCGAATAATATACAAAAATTTAAGAAAAATAGCATAATATTTTCGTTCTCATTTAAAATTACTTTAGCGTTGTTGTTTACTAAGCGACGTTATGGCTTTGATATAGGTACCAACCGATACGCACGAAGAGCTTTTTTTTGATACGAAGTGAAGGGACACGTCTCATATGCCTGTAATTTTACAAGCACATAATATGACAAACACCAAAATGGTTTGTCGTAATATTGATTGTAATGATAATTGATCGGAACTGAGGAAGTTAATTTACCTGAAGTATGAATATTTTCCTAATGTGGACATACCCACTTCGTCATCATTGCATATTATAAAATGTCTTTATTTGCTGTTTATTTTCTACACATTCTAGAATAAAGATTACCTCTAGGAAGTCTCACATTTCTTTTTTAAACGGCGAAAGCATTTAAATACGTAAGTGCATATATAAACACAACTACAATATTATTTTATACATATAAATGGCTTTTGGTTGATTTGCATAACGATGATAGTGTTAAATCACTCATTAAAAAAATATATAACAAAATTGAAGATATACACTGATTAGTTTACGGTGTGAAAACTCACTTCGAAATTTATAAGAAAACCTCTGTATTCAATAGGTACTTTGCACATACCAATGATTTGTTTATAATCAACTAAACTAAATAGAACACGTATACTACATACATTTTTCAAATAGCTTTAATTACGTTTGTAAAAAATAAATTCTGCCAACAACCCAAGCAAAATGAATCGTATTAGTACGGTAAATATTTGGATTCGGGCTAAGGTTGACTGTTAATAGGAAATAATAATTTGTCGCCAATGTACTCAAATTTCAATCAATAATACGCATATTGAAATATAATCAGTTCCCATAATTCCCGAGATTTGTAGAAGGGAATGTCCACATTATTCTTTAGTTTAGCTAATTTAACTCCCTCAATTCCGATCACTGGTAACGAATTTGTATAGTTGGTTGAAGAAGATCTTTCATAGATTTCTCACAGGTGGCACTACAGCAAAAAAATCCCTTAAAACAAAACCAAAAACAAACATCTGTAAAAAACGCATAGCGAAATTTGTAAGGTCTATTGACTCAATCTTTAAGCTCAGTTGGTAAAGCGGTGGCCCTAGTTTCGCATAAAGATTTTTCTTTGTGTTCTATATTTGTAATAATAATTATAATAATTTGTCCTTGATATAGTCGTAAGCATTTGTCACGCCCTCGGCCTAGAGGGTTTTGGCACTTTGCCAGATCTGCCACCCTATTGTTACGCAACTGGAAGGCATGCTTGTGACTTTCAGATTACCCTAAATACGTATCTCGTGTTCCGAATATTGTGCTTTTTTGGGCCACAATTTTAAGTTATTTAGCGAAAATGCGTAAAATCGTAGTTTTCTAGAAATACTTTTAGTAGCCCCTCCACTCAGTTTTACCAAGTATCTTCCAAGTTAGTTATCGAAAATTCAATTTCAAATCTAACAGGAAGTATATTCCTATACATTTAGTAGTAGTAGAGCTCCTTGTGAAAGAGTTCGTCCAGGGAAATGCTGCCACCTAGCCTATTTCTGCCGCCAAGCAGTAACATGATAATTACTACGGTTTGGAAAAGTAAGGAAGCTGGTGAAATTACAGGCACATGGAACTTGTCAACTTATGTCTTAGGTTGATGGGCGCAGTGCCAGTGCCGTTCAGATCTATGCGATTTAAAACTGCTATGGACAGGCGTGTCGCTTACCACCAGGCTCACGACTTGTTCGTCCCGACAATTGGCATCATAAATTAAAACATTCCGTGCATATTGCTGGTAGGTATGTGAGCATAATAAGGTTGAAATCCCAGTCCACGTACAAATCCTCGAAGTTGAGAAAGGACATAATAAATTCAATTATCAAAGACCTGTCTCATCTCCTCCATAACGCCTGCCCTCTCTTACATACACCTGTGTTCCCAGCGGTGCCTCCAGGTGGACTGCCAGGAGGTCGGCCATCGGTTCGGGGTAAGCCAGAGTTGCCGCGAGGATCCACAGCTGGTCTTCCAGGCAAAACTGGTAAGTAACTGTGTTCACTATATTCTTCTTTCTTTCTGTGGAGTTTAGAGTCAACGGCTTAGCGGTGCCGACCGTTAGTTGTGCAATGCACAACGGGAAGTAGGCGTGCCAACAGCTCCGGTACCTATCTGGAAAATAGGGAGGATCTAGCTACTAGACTTTTGAGAACCGAATGAAGTCTGTGTAAACGGGCTGATTTGGGGTCAGGATCTGACTGATAAGGTCCCTGTGCAGGTTTGCTTGCACAGGTTATAGTACCCTTCTCGTACACCCTAAGGGTCGGTAGGGTAGGTACACTACAAACAAAACTTATTCAATTCAAAATTCAAAAAGTTTATTTCAGACATAGTCCATATTAGTGTTAGTTACAAAAAAAATTCTTACAACCTATGTTAGTACTAAATTTGCGAAATATTACAGTAACTTATAAATTAAACCCCTGGAACCCATGTGGACTGAGTTCCAGTGCTTCCACAATTCACTGACAGGGTTCTCCCAGATCAAACGAACTAGGCTATTGGAACTGCCACGCACGCGGCGCATCAGGAAGGTAGTTCAGTGTAGAAATAAATATTCTTCTTAGTTGTTATCTTCATTGCTGAACGTTGTGTCCCCGAATGGTTTTCGAGACTTTATGGACGATTTTCTTCCATCTGGTTCTGTCTTCGGCCTCTCGCAGGGAAGTTGTTATAGGCCAGTGAGGACGGTCACTTGGTCACTCCATCGGCTAGGTGAACGACCGCGAAGTCTCTTTCCATCCACCTTACCCACCACAACCAGTTTGTCAAGGTTGCCCGGTAATCGGGGAGCAATATGACCAAAATACTGTAGCATTCTCTGGTAGCATATTGTGGAAAGTCTGTCTGCGACATGAAGCTGCTCAATTATGGATTGGTTTGTCCCTCTAGTGGTCCACGGTATACGGAAAAAATATACGGGAGTGTATATTGTTCTTTCTCTTAATTTGTACGATGGTTCTCTCACGAAATCTTTTTTTGGGATTGTGAAGCCACCGGTCGCCATACAAAAAGTGAGAATGTATAATGTTTGAAATTTATAAGCAGTTTTTTCCATCTCTACATGTATTTATAGACCAATTATAGAATTTTATAAGGTTTGAAGAGGGTTAAAACGCTAATCTGACCGTCAGTTTTAATAAGGATTAGAGACTCTTAACGCTAAAAGTTGCAACTGTGCCTTTAATAGAGACGAAAGGATGGGTCTTGGTGAGTGTTTTCGTAGAGTCAGAATAAATAACATCGATATTAGTAATGCGGTGATACAGTAATCATATCGACTCGATAAAAAAGTTTATAGGATATATCGAGTTCTTAGTTTAATTTTTATTGTATAGGGCGTTTGCATTTATATTAGATATGATTGGAAAAAACGAATACGCGATTTATATGGTTTCATGTCCAATTTGTAGCGTATTTTGTACAAAAAAAGTCATATGTAAAAAAAGACGATATTATTTAGAAATATTTATCCTCTGTGTACATTATTTCTCGATTTCTAGCTTGTAGCTTTGTAATGTTTTATTTAAAAAAAATACATTACAGTCACATGATTTTCATTTCATATCTAATGACGTCTTAAAGCATAAATTTAAGAAATCAAAATGTCAATGATAACTTGTTTTGACTTCATACAATTGTGTCCTATTCATTGCGAGTGTCTTGGCTAGAACCTTACTAGAAGACTACCTTTATGCTTTCAAAGTAAAGTTATAAAATTTCACATATATAATTTGTTTCACGCATAAAAACCGTGGTAAACTAATGGTTTGCCCTACCGCCTCCCACACAGAGGCCGTGGGTTCGAATCCGAGTTCGCACCTCTCAGTTTTTCGGACTTTATGTGTAAAATTTAAATCGAAATTTGCCATGAGCTTTTCGATTAAGAAAAACATCGTGATAAAACCTGCAGCTAGACTACTGAGAGGAGACTCGTGCCCGACAGTGGGACGTGTAAAGGAGTTGATGTTGACATTTAGTAATATATTTATGACTTTCATAAGACATGTGACTATTCAAACCATGGATACGAAATTTTGAGTTAAAATATCGATACCTTAAGTCTCAACTCTAGTTCCGGGGCTTCATAATCCTCTTAAATGTACTATGCTGTTGTATATACGGTCAATTTGACAATATTGATATATTTACTTTCTGGTAGGATTATGTACGTACGGAAATTCATTGGCTTTCTATTGGTTAGCCTGTGAAGATACATGATGCAATCAGTCACAACGTGATTAGACTCATTACCTAAAATGGCTGCTACAATCTGAGTTTGATAGACTAGGAACATGTTACGAGGAAACATGTCACATGATGACTTTAAACAAAATCTTGTTTACTTTTATCACATGGTTTTTTCATTATATACAGGGTTATTTAAAAAAAAACTAACAACCTCGTAGGTAGGATATTACTAACATCATGAACAACAACTTTTGTTCCATGATTTCTAATAATTCATCATATTTTATTTTTATACAAAAATAAATAGATTTAAATAGATCGGTCTAAATCATAGTTTCCCAAAGTGGTCCCTGGCACCCTCCAGTGGGCGCTGAAGAGTCCTAGGTTGGGGCCTCGGAAGCAATTGAGGAGCGTTGGTGCTCTCCAGGGGTGCTACCGCATTTGACTAAAAAAAAACTACACTACATAACCTAAAAATGTACATAAACTACAATACTGCCCTCAGAACGAAAAAAGTCACAACTGCTGTATAAAGTAAGCATAATTGTATGTATTTTTTTCTTTCCTTTCCTTGTGATTTTTTTCATGGTACTACGTTTTCGTTTCTACTAACTAAGGTAAACTATTATTTTATGGGGAACTGTATACGTTTTTGCAATAAGATTCCGGAGCATATATTAAGTTTACCATTTCCTAAGCTTAAAGCTTGCATTAAAGGTGTTTTAATTGAAAAGTCATATTACAACATTGTAGATAATGATGTGTGGAAAGACAACGTGAGTCTAGATTCCACACAAATATGATTCAAAATGTGTTCTATAGCATTTAAGTTTATTTGAAAAAAGCAATCCCTAGAGTTTCTTGCTTGTTCTTTTCAAGGAGGTCAGCGTATTGAACGAGCAGTAGCTTAAAAAATTACGTTTTCAAGCATTGACTTACAAATAAATGGACGACGGGTCTAATTCAAAAACCACGACAAAAATATCCCAAGTCAACCCATTTAAACGTAGTGACATGTAAAGGAATATGAAATTGAACGTTGAATTTAAATTGTAATGTCATCGCAGTACTGTCTAATTTTGCTTGCTTCGCTGTCAGTCGAACAAACGAAGACTAAAGCGTGAATGACGCTCTGTATACGATTTTAACGCCCTATAAGTTCGGACACTTTTTAGCGCGGACCCGACGTCCATAAAATTGTAAGTCAATGTTTTCAAGTGTAAAAATTTGACCAATGGAATAAATGATTATTTGACTTTGTGTTAAGTTAATATAAAAAATACGTGTTTTCAGTTATATTTTGTATATTGCCTAAGTGGGCGGCGAGTCAAAAAGTTAGGGTACCTATGCTCTAAACAGTAAAAAACTCTATGCAGGTGGGAACAGTCGTGGTAAATTTATTATGTTTTGAAAAAAGTCATGGCACAAAAGTTCTTTAGGCTGTTAGTAATATAATCGTGCGAGATTGTTAGTATTTTAAAATAACCCTGTATACGCCACCTCCTAACAGGGACTTAAATTAAATTTGTAAAATTTAAAGATGAGTAATTAATAGATTCAGGCGTTACTTTGCGGAATGTTAATAAAAATGGAAGTAAATTAATTTGCTACCCCGCGAACCAAGTGTAGGTTAAATCATGCAAAATAGCTAGGCTTGTGTTGAATATTCTTTCACCGAATATACCCATGGATATATTTTTGGTGGTGGTTTGTGACTGTAGATGCGCTTGTGTTATTTATTTTATTAATTTTATGCGGAGTGAGAATGGGAAAATTAACTCCATGAAAAAAATATTCAACACAAGCGCAGCTATTTTACATGATTATAACATTCACTGGGTTCGCGGAGTAGCAAATAAATTTACTTCCATTTTTAATTACAAATGCGTTAAAAGTTTTGTGTTTAAATTAAAATAAATAAAATGAAAATCTTTTATTTCAGATGTCTGTAATCCATATTCTTAAATTATGAAGTTAGTTAATCAAATTAGAAAATTAAAAAAAAAATAACATAAAATAAGTTATCAAATTCATACTTTTCCTATATGCAATTAAATCAAATGCCACGTTATAGGACAGTCAAAAACGGTCGGCTATAACGCGTAGGATGGTGTTGCTGCTGCCGCGGACACGCGTCAGCGTCGAGGCGGCGTTTTTCCTTATGATGGCGTAAAAGTCCATCTGTGTGAACTTCTGCAAACATACCTGACGTGCTGCAGTATCTCGGCAGCCCCATCAACACCCAAAACGCATTATTATTGCACGCGCAGGGCATTTATTGTCTTTTGCGTATAGCTAACCCTAGATGTTTAGGACAACTGAGCACATTTAAAGAGCACTTCAATGTTATAGTGTTTCAATAAGTATTGCGCCATTAGATGTTGATAAGCAATAACGTGTCAACCAACAAAAAAAAAATGAAAATGGCACATTAAGATTTGTTCTGAAACTACTACACCTATAGTAAATTAGGCAGGAATGTGAAATCTCCATTTGTTTTCTGTTTATCTTATAAAGGTGCAAGTCCATTAACTACAGCACCGTTAGCTGCTCCTCTTCATCCCGCCACGAGGCAAAGGGCAGAGGCAGCTCAAAGTGCCTTGGCTCCCCCTCCGCATCCGTAAGTATCCCTTCAAGTTGCCCTCAGACGTTATATAATACTGCAATGCGGCACGAACGCCACAGGTGCCGACAGGGCCCGTTCCCTTTTCATCCCTTAACCTCCTATGAATATTATTGTATGAAAGAGGAATTATGATATTTATTTTATTGACACAGCAACGTGGTTGACATAAATCAAAATTTAGTCAGGAACGTGACATCTCAAATTGCTTTTTATTTACGTTTATAAGGTGCAAGTTCATTGACTACAACACCGTTAGCTATTTATTATATTAAATTATTAACTGCCTCCGTGTTACGAACCAGGAACCTCTGCGTGTCAGGTTCCAGGTTCGATTCGCGAACCGGGAGAAATATTTGTATGGCCTATTTATTATATTTCTCTCATGAGTTTGGGTGTAATTTGTGGTTGTATATGTGTTTGTCAATGACATTCGTGATACAGGGTTTCCCTAGTGCGGGGCTATATACATAGATACAAAAAATATCGTAATTTTTTTTACTGCCATGATATTCGTATCGTATTAGAATAGTTGTAAATAAAATATGTGAAATTCAAGATTATACCATTACAGTACGAAAATTTCATTCTCTACTCTACACGTTAATAAAACCGTCGTTAGAATATTATACAAAATATTTTTTTTATGTCAAAAATTTATCTACTTAACTCAAAATGAGATAATTTTTTGTGAATTAGTTCTAGTCAAAACAGTCCTTAATCAAAAATATGAAATTATTTTTTCCCTTTTATTTTATATATATTTGGCGAATAGAAAATTGTTTAGATGTCTGCAATAAACTTTAACCTGTACCATACATTTTGTGCACACACGCCGCGCCCCGTGTTCGGACGCACACACTCATTATTCGAGTGCACTCGCGTTGCATAGCGTGTGTCGTCGCTTGCGCCATCCATTATAGAATTACCGCGGTCGCTGGGTGAATAAAAATCAAATCAAATCGTAGACGTGGTTTATTGTTACGCTTAAGGTGGTTTGAACCAGAGTGCCTCAATTCCTATTTCATAGTCATCCGTGATGCTGATATAAAAATATCAATACGTCACTATAACAAAGTTTATTTCGATATTACACAAGAATACTGTGATGAATGCCTTAATTTTTGTCAAATTATGTTTACAACCTGTATTTCTTAAAATTGATGTATAAGTTACAGTTCATAGCAGACATCTGAACAATTTCCTACTTGCAAAATATATTTTAAAATGAAACGGAATAGTTATTTGTTATGGAAGGCTGCAAAGTTGTTATTTGACGCGAGTGTTTGTATTGAAACCAGAGCAAGCGAAGGAGGCTAAGATAGAAGATAGGCTCAAAAATAGAATCTTGAGCGTAGCGAGGGTTTCAAACAAACACACAACTTTTCACCTGACTATAGCGAGGGAAATGGTAGATGAAAGAAAAACAGTTGAACTGTAAAATATCAGTTTTTTTTTAAATAAAAGAAAAAGTTTATCTTCGGATGCGTTTTGAATTTACACCTCATCAATTTTAATTCTTGCTTGTACTTTTATTTTGTGTAATTAAGTGATTATTGAAATTATTTTAGATCTTCGACGAAATAAAATAATTTAATAAACACAACGGATTTTTGTTACATAAATAAGTAATGTACAAATCGCTTAATTGAACGTGCCATTATCTTTCTTTCTTTATCGAAATAAAAGCGTAAGCCTAGGTCTGTGGGTGCACCACAGTCCATCGTCAAGTTCGAAATTCAGAAATTTTTTCGACGCTAGCGTGAATAAAACGCTGTTGCGTGCAGATTTCTACTAAGAAAGAAAGCCTTTCCGAGCTAGTGAGGTGAAAAATATATTTCAATATATTGAAATGCACATGGGACTTGTTGTTCTATAGAACAACAAGTCCCATGTGCCTGTAATTTCACCAGCACCCTTACCCTTCAAAACCGAAACACAGAAATGCTGACATTACTGCCTGGCAGCAGAAATAGGTAAGGTGGCTGATCTTCCCTGGACGAACTCGTTCACACGGAGCTCTACTACTAAACCGTGTTTTACCAGTGCAATCGCCATTCTCCACGTTATCAATGAATTGGGGACAAAGTGTAGAGAATCAAATTTTACGTTCTGAAATTGTACGGACAACGGCACGTCAGACTACACATTTTTGTTCTAAAATCGCCTCCATTGCAACGGAACAAGATACGTCAATGTCTAGCTTCATGTGTTGGCGTGTGTACAATCTTGAATTTCACATATTGTGAATTACAACACTATTGTAATAGCAATGCGATATTTTTGTATTGATTTGTAAACGGCTTTTTGTGCAATGAGGAAGTTATTAAGGGGTATTATTATAAATTTCTGTCATAGTACCTTACTACGTCGTTAATAATATACAATATAGTACTATCTAATAACCTCATTACCTTATTAAAGTACCTTCTAAAGTGAGATAAACAGTTCTTTTTCGTACAATGATGGTGAAAGGTGATAAATGGGACGGGAGCTACCGGCAACTATATTATCTTATAATGTGGATGATTTATAATCGTCAAATATACAGGGTGTTTTTTATTATTTTAAGAAACATTTTTACTATGTGGTGTATATCTAACGTGACCATTAATTTTTCCCTCAGAGCGGGACGCCTGTAAATTTATTATTGTTTTAAAAATAAAAGATTGGTATAAGATAGTGAAATGATAAAAAAAGAACTAATCTTTTGTAGTCCGGTGCTTGATGTCCGGTTGGATGGCTTTTTATATTTTTCGCTACCGCGCCATTTATTAAAATTTATTGTTACGTATATTCTGTGTTGTCAAAGCGGGACACTTTTAAGTATTTTGGGGACAGCGGGACACGAAACCTAAAAGTGGGACTGTCCCGCTATGTACGTATGGTCACGTTATGTATAGGTTCCTGCTCTAACCGAAATATGTATGAACTTGCAGTTTTTACTGCTGATGCCCTGCAATGCAACAACCCTGGTTTATAAATGTGGTGACCCCCTATAGCATTGTTAAAGATAAAACGTCACCCTGTATAAGCTTGACGATTTTTCCACTACAATCATAACGCTGTCGCTTAATACGTCTGACAACTAATATTTTCTGATTAAATAAATATGGAAGAATACTCATGTCCATTTCAATTTCATGAAACATTTTTTTAGAAAAGCTGTCTGAGCTTATGTAGTTATTTGATAATCTTTGAAAATTAAAGTTTAATCGAACAATGATAATATGTTTTCCATTAAATAAATTAGCCCTAGAGTAATTTAAGCGAAGCCAAAATTAAGTAGAAGCTTGTGGCTTTATAGGTACAATAAATTCTAGAACTTGGCAACTTACTTTGTTGAATTAGTGGACTTTCTTAATTCATATCATAGTAGTGTAAAAAGCTTTAGTTCTGCTTTGACATATCCTGTAAGATGTTTTTTAAGTAGGAGGAACACCACCGGTAAACTTTTGGTAGTTTTCTAAGTCAATAATGTAAAAAGCTATTATTACTGCCCAGTTTAATTAACCTTATGCTATAGCAGTAGATTCACTGCATTACCATGATTGTTTACACACACTGAATAATAACAAGGAAGATACCAGACAAAGTAAAATGGACACCGATTTGAATAATTCCGGAAGACCATTATACGAAATACGAAAAAATCAGACTAGCTAACAAAAAACCCTATAGCAAACGTTCTTTTTGAAGTCGGATAAAGGAAGTACAAGGCTCCTTGGTCAGTATGTGTGAACCGAGTTCATGTACATTGATGACGTAATACTGTGGATCGTGTAGATCCTTCTTGCGCAGGACGTCGACGGGCAGCGCGAGTTCCGGCGAGGCGCCTGCGCCATCGCCCAGTCCCTCTGGTGCCAGCCATTCTGATAAGGACCAAGACCCTCAGGTCAGTACTATAAGAATCTAGTCTTTTCTGGACTTGTCTTCCAAATGTTCCAAATAAGAACCTTAAATTTTATTCTGCTATCCCCTTTCTATCTTTGGAGGACTAGATGTAGGCTGGAACATACCCAAGATTCGCAAGAAGCACTACGCTTCCACGCTTCTAAGGCGCACGGCATTAGAGTGGAATTCCCTGCCCACAGATTTGTTCTCTGTGTACCTTTTCAAGACAAGTGAATATGCATGCTCCATCGTCTACTTCATCGTCACTTTCTATCAGTTGAGATGGAGATGAAAAGCGCACTTATTTCATCCATAAAAAAACACTCTGTTCCAATGCGGATTTACCACTGAAGTAATTAATGCTATCATAAAAAAATATAACTCTACTCTTTCTGTCACAGGAGAAGATTGAAAAATTAGAAGAGGATAAGAAACGTCGACTGCAACTCTACGTGTTTGTGTCAAGATGCGTTGCTCATCCTTTCAATGCGAAACAACCTACGGATATGACGCGACGGCATACCAAACTGACTCCGCATCAACTGGAGACAATACAGGCGCGATTTCAGGTATCCAGTTCTGAGAAGTTAGAGAGTCTTTTAGTAGGGAAGACATGTTTTTGTAAGGCAACCAGGAGCAGTACGTGATGTACAAGATATTTTTTACAAATTTTTTCAATTACCTTTAAGTAGCAATTTCAAATCTTTCTCAGGCGTTTCTAAAAGGAGAAACCCAGATCCTAGCAGACGAAGCATTTCAGAACGCTGTCCAATCATACCATGACGTGTTTTTGAAATCTGAACGTGTTGAACAAATGGTCAAGTCTGGTGCGTGTTCGCATCATGACTTTCGTGAAGTGTTTAGAAACAACATCGAGAAGAGAGTCAGGTTTGCCGACAAGTGAACAATCTTTTCTTATTACCTATTTCGTAGCTTAGCTCATTCAATCATTTATATACCATATCGTTCGCTCTGCATTAACGTGAAATGGATTCCGGGTTCGATTCCTCGGAGAATTAATTTAGAACATTACCGTTCTGACGATTTCTTAAGTTTTGTATCGACTTTCAGTTTGGTACCTTATTCATATTATCTGAGGTAATTGTAACCACGTCTTTGATGACATAATTTTCTATTGTTTTAGAATAATTTACTTTTCCTTAAAACTAATAATGTATATTTATGCAATTCTTTATTATATATACATATACATATATCCTAAAACTTTCTACTAGACTATGAGTCAAAATGATAACATGTGAAATTTGTTGAACTCAACAAAAATGTTACAGGTCTTTACCAGAAATAGATGGATTAAGTAAAGAAACAGTTTTAACATCATGGCTTGCTAAATTTGACTGTATTATGAAAGGAACTGGTAAGTTTATACTTAAACAACAACAACATTCTAACACTAAAAGAGTTACAAACTTTAAAGTAGACAGCAAAGTATTTAATAATACTGTTGAAAACAATCGTGGATCTCTCAGAGTCAGGAAAGATAAAGTTTTACACAACGTTAAAAGTTAGTAACTCAAAAACGCAATTTCAGGCAAAAAATGAAAGCATGCAGCATTAAATGGAAAGCTTGGTTTTTGCAAATGCCTTTGAATGTGTGTGTCAAAGGATGTATCCATTAGTACATGTATGTTCAATTGATAGTTACATTTACGTAGAAATAAAACCACACGAAAATATTTGGAGAGAAAATTAACATTATCCATTTCTTAATGCCTGAAACGCCATTAAAATGTAATTTTTGTTTTGAAATGAAATTGCAACAGCTTCGTATCTTTTTTATATTCTTTTTTTACGTAACATAAAATAGAACACTTATAGTAATACAGTAGTAATCCATTCAGAATTTATATACTTGACAGTTAGAAACCGGTTTGAAATAACAATTCTGCCAACTTTTGAAAGAAGTCCTCTGGTTGTAATTACCATTGTAATGCTGAGCATTGATACAGTCTTAATTATTTCTTTCGTCATGTTCAATCCATGCAATGTTAAAAACATCTATGTTGCAATGTCATTTTTCAACAAATTCTAATAAAGTTTGAAGATTATCTCCCCAAAATAATCAGGATTAGCTTTAAGACCCTCGACATCAACAATTTCATTCAAAATTATACAATTTAAACACATAATCATCGAACTTTCTTCGTGTTGCTACCAGTGTACCATAATGTTTGTTTGTAGTGTATAATATGTTTAACAGAATTGGAACTATGTTGAATTCTTCCGAATTTCTGAAACTGACATGATGTTAATCTTAAAATGTTTTGCTGTTTTATTTATTCGTCGTCGAAGTCGAAGTCGTGTTTCTATTTCATTAAAAAAGCATATTTTGTGATTGTTTTGTTTTTCTATAATAGTTCATTTGTCCTTGTTTATTATATATATCATGTTCAACATTGTTCCATTTCTGAAGTGTTTTAATGTTAAATGTACCTTAATGTGTGTCGCCTGCGTATGTCTCACTCTCTGTGTTTCTGTCCCTTTCTCTCACGACATGTCTCTTCAACATATCTCGAACAGGAATAACAGGTATCACACGACAACTTTCCATTATTTTTCTCCTTTTTATTTTTTGTATTTGCAATAGTTTGAAGTTAATGAATTTTAGGCTTTTTTTATAACACTTAATTATAACATTATTATTCTAGTCTCACTAATTACGGTTTTTGTTTAAATACACAGTGCTCAGTTGAGTAGCGTCTTTAACATAAAATTTTTAACATTTACCTCTTTTAACAAATACAAAATAGGTGTCCCACAAGGTGCAGTTTTAAAACCTACGTGAAAAACGTTGAATTCTTTAGAGTTTCTAAAACTGTCACGATGCTACATAATCTTAAAATGTTTTGCTATTTTATTTATACATATACACAAAATATTTAATACAAAACAGGTGTCCCACATGGTATAGTTTTAAGACCTACTTTTTCCACCGCATCGCGATAGATTTCCTTCAAGAAACAGTTGTCAGACAGTTGCGCCTTAAAATACAATCTAATAGATTCAATATATCCTTTAAGACGAGATTGTGTAACGTAAACTTTTATACGCGAAACGATATAAATTACAGGCGTCTTACAAGGTAAAGTTTCGAGACTTACGCTTGTAAGCACAATGCGGTCCTACCTCAGGGTAAACTTTTGTGACCTACGTTTTCAAATAGAATATGATTACGTCACGTACCTACAGTTGTGTTACATACAATGTTTGCTTTGAAAATTGTTACCTTATAAGCAATAACACAATCCTAAAATTCACTAACTTTGAAGCTTATGTCTTGTGCTGTTGCTTGTCTATCAATGTTTCGTAACTTTTAAGTCTTGATCCTTTTTTAACTAAATCATCTCCAACTATTTGACTTCAAATTTCTCTGAATGCTAGTTTTAAGCTTGCCATTGCAAAGTTACTGTTTCTAGGGTTTTAATGGGTACCACTAACTTATTCTACGATATCTTTTTTGGATCTTGATGGATAACATTACAGGAATTGATAGAGTTCTATAATTTATGAAAGTATATATTAATATATTCAGTGGTGCTCGTATATAAAGGGGCTAAATAAATATTTACGTAATATCTTCTGAAATTTGTCCGTAGTATAACTAATCAGGGTGCAATAATAAAATATTTATTAGACTCTGATGAACTTACTGTTATTTATACTTAATTTTTTTATTGGTTGACGTCATATTAACATTGAAAATTAATTAATATCATTGTCAAGGCAAAGGTAAGTAAATGATATTTTCTAATGGAAACTGTATTGTAAATTAAACACCTAATCTTCAATAATTTTATTTTGCTTTACAAAATTTTAAATACTTTTTACAAACAATTCGATAAACATAATTAATTATTTCCAATATTATTAGTATGTCATTAAAGGTAATTACTATGTTTAATTTTTACACCCTTGGTAATTTCAAACCTCAACTCAAGTGTTTTTTTATTGTTGACAACATTCGAAACGTAAACAAAGGCCTCATATATTATGTAAATTAAATTATTTGTATAACGAACATCTACAAAGTGCAAGAACTATTTTGAATCTCTTAACATTGTCTAAAGCTTGTAATGGTGATGACAACAGAACGGACTTCAAAGTGTCCACGTAATCAAAAGCATCTTGAAAATCATATATTCTTCTGTCTTCAAATAAAAATATGAATTTTAAATTGTAACTTGGAACTGAAAATTTAACTTGACCATAAAATGATGAATAATTGGGATATATTTAGGTATCTGAATGCAGAAAATTATAAATGTTTACCAAGATTTTGGCCAGTGAAGTCTCTCTGCCTACGCCTCATGAAAAACAGCGTCATTATTAGATGTAAAACCGTAATTATTCTTCCTTCAGGAATACCAGGGGATGATGACTCGAAGAGGCCATCGCGAGCGCAACAGCAGAGTTTGAACGCAGAATGCATTCTAAGCAAAGAACAGCTCTATGATATGTTCCAGCAGATACTAGGGGTGAAGAAGTTCGAGCACCAGTTGTTATTCAACGCATTACTTGTAAGTGTAACAACACAAATGCTTAACAACACGTAATAATACCTCAGAAAGTTAACAAAGAAAATTAATAAGCTATTGTAGCACTTAAAAGTTTTTACTATTTAGATAGGTACAACATAAAACTAATATGAAAGTAATCTACAGTGCTATAGTCATGTGTTTCTTTAAAGGTCCAATGACTGAATGAATGAATGATGGACTTCAGAGAACAATATTGTACGTGTTCATCATGTTTTAGCCGCTGTATTATTATAGTTTTATCTGAAGTTCCGCAGCCATTTTTGATGTAATTTATAAAAATCAAACATCTCAATAAATTCTTTAATATATTTCATATGAATTTCCAGCTGGATTCAGCAGACGAGCAGGCGGCAGCCATAAGAAGAGAGCTGGATGGTAGAATGCAGAAGGTCAACGAGATGGAGAGAGTAAGGAATAATAATAACAATTATTCGATTTTTAAATTAACAAAAAGTTTTGGTAAAAGTTTTTAGAAGATAAGATACACATTCATTAAGACATTAAAACTGTAAAAGATGTTAAGTTTTTACGATCATTGGGTGGAAACCTTTCTAACTGGCAAAAATTGTCCAATCATCAAAATCTAAGCTCTCTCGTTCTTTCGTTTCGTTCGTAGTTATCTGTTAATATAACTCACCTATTTATCCTCCCGTCTTTCTTAAGGACCGCGAACTAGTTCGAAACGTGTCGATCAAAAATTCTCACATTAGTAAGAATTATTGATCGACACGGATAACTCACTTAAATACATGAGTTATTCGTTAGTTTAGTTAATTATGTCTAAGTATGTCTCACAGTAGTTTTCTATTTAAAAATTAAAAAGAAAACAGTTAGTAAGTCAATGATATTCTATTTCTAGAACCGCAAGCTAATGCCGAAGTTCGTCCTAAAAGAGATGGAGTCACTTTACATTGAAGAGCTGAAGTCCTCGATCAACCTACTCATGGCCAACCTGGAGTCGCTCCCTGTCTCTAAAGGCGGGGCGGACTCCAAATATGGGCTACACAAAATCAAGCGGTATAATCACAGGTCAGTAGATGACATGAATTTTATTAGGGTTAATAATATTTTTAATTAACTGTAATTTAGTGAGAGGTGTTAAATTTTATGAAAATAAACCAGACCAAAACTTGATAAAAATACATTTATTAAAATCGTTGATACGGAAGAAATGTCAGATGGAAATACTTTAGGAAGTCAAAGATTCTAAAAACTAGACTGTTTTATAAATTCTGAATAATATTGTCATTCTTTCGTACTTGGTGACATAAGAGTCTGGCGTATATTCACTTTAAAAGTAGCATCTTTAAAAATTAAGTTAATTAAATATTAGAGTATGACACTAGTCGTATAATAACGGTACAGACGAAACTATTTTAATACACTCAACTAAATACAATCCATACTTAAGTGAAGGAAGTTCCATAACAGTGTCTATATAATGTGAAACATAAAATGGTGTTAAATTCAATGTTGTATTTAAACGATTTAAAATTTTCTTTTTCATATTGGATGTGGTCAATGTAACTTGAATCGAACAATGATAAGCTAGTAAAATTGCATAAAAAACGAATGCCTATGTTTCAATAAGTATGTTTGTCTTTATTTGTAAACAAAATTATGATCAATGTTCGAATCCAGAAAATCGATGTTGTCGTATTTTCAATGGAGGATAATAATTACGACTTTTAAAGCCTTATTCACTCCTAATCGCCTCTCTTAAGCGAATATTATCTCTCATTCCTTGCATCACATTATGCAGTTTAACCCAGTTTAACCTAAAAAAAGGTTTTGTTAAATACTGTTATACATTATTATAATTCTCCATCAAGGCTTCATTTTTATCTATCTAAATAACACGAATGACATCATAAAAAATCCGATTTAGGTGTCGAGGTTTTTAAATTGGTTAGTCCCACTTTATGCACAGTGGTTTAGTTCATTGATGAATGATGTGTTATGGATGAAATGTTTGCAATTTAATACTTCTTTTTCTATCGTGTTTTTGGGATCAGTACTAAATAGGATAGCCCGATAGTTTTTAGACCTCCATCCAATTATTCCGTTGTACCAACTTGTTCATTTGTTTGTTTTTGGTTCTCTGTCCCTGGCACTTTTCTGGACAAAAGGAAGTACAAGTAATGAGTAAAGATTTGATATTTTTTGGCACGTGTCTTGTTTAGCAGGATCCCTACCCCACTATGGCCTGATATGAACAAGATTTGAAATCCTTATGTTGTCATTGTGACCACTAATAATCATAGTAACTAGAAAATAGTTTGTAGTGCTTAAACATACCAACCATTATCGAGATATAGAAGCAAACAGTGGTCATATTAATGAAAATGACAACAATGGATATTTTGAAGCTTTCACTACACTGCCAAACAATATGCTTATAGACAATCTTACAGTTATAGACAAAGACATTACAATAGATCTTCTAACACTAATTGAAACAGCATTAGAAAACATAAAGAATATAGGCTTTAACGAAACAAGTAACTCAAAGTACAGCAAGTAACTTATAGGCAATAAACAAGCTTTAACATCACAGCTTCTCCGTCACTTTTAAAACTGTCACGTTGCTTTTAACTGTTCTAGTCTATTCATATTGACTAACATAAGCGTACAAAAAGTTAGGAACATAACGCTACAGATTAAAATAATACTATGGCTTCATGCTTTATTAGGGCTTCGCTTTATATAAAACTAATTAATATGTATAACATTTATATTTACCGCATATCATACGTTAATATACAAAAAAGTCAAAATATCCCTAATATACATAACTTTTTTGTATATCAACATTATTTTCATTCATCACCTTTACTTAACACCCTTAGAGTATAGCTATGTGTGTATGTTATAGAAATTATTTAAAGCATTCTATTTGTGCTTAATCATTTTTGGTCATCGGTGATGGTTCCCTGTACACCACCCTACAATTTTGCCCTTTTGAATGTTTGTAATACAATTTCACTTAATTTAACCCCTTTTTCATATATTTCATTGGGATTACCACCTATTATATCTATGGCGTCTATATTAATTGGTATATAAATATTACCTATTATAATAATAATATTCTATATTGGTGATGAGTTATTCACAAATTCATGTTAACACTAAAATCCTATATGTGCTTTTTACAATTTGCTTCGATATCATTTTGATTGTCAACAATTTTAATTTTCTATTTTCTATTGCCTTTTCCAACAATGGCAATGTGACTCCACCTATGTTACTCGAAACCAAATTCCTTTTATTGGTATTTATGGGATTTTCTCCTCTACTACATTTTTCAATTCAATTGTATTTACAAATATTTTTAAAACACGATACGTCATCATTCTTACTCAAATACTAATCGTTTTCTGGGCGTGGTATGTCAAACACAATGTTACTAAAACGACTTTAAATGGCGATGAAACAACTTGAATCTAACTAAATTTAAAATCTGTTCCTTAAACGTGAACTTTAAATAACGGTGGTGGACAATGAAATGGATTATGGACACAGAAATGCAGGACCTGATCCGAGTCCAAGATTGAGTAAGCAGCTGTGTTTCAGATCACAAGGATCTCTCGCCAATAAGCTGACTGGTGAAGGCGATGGTGCTGATGTCGACACACAACTTACTAAAATGGATGTTGTACTTACCTTCCAGATTGAGGTAATGCTGACGGTTTGCTTTGGATGAGGGTAGTACGAAACTATGTTTTCGGATCTAAATCGTATATTTTTTGTTTTTTCAAACAAACCAACCTTTCGGTCTCTCTACAGGTCCGTGGTAACAGGTGACTGAAGGTAAGAGAGAAAAGCCCGAAATTTTAATTGAAAAAATAAATATACGCGATTCAAACCCGAAAAAATAGTTTCGTTTAATACGTTCAAATATGAGATGAAAAATAGAAGAGAGAAAATAAAATAAAAACAGATAATAAACCTGTGGTTGTAAATTTTTGTGTAAAATCTATAAAGATAGATAGCTGCCGATAGTCTATTGAGTGTAACAAATAGTTACAACGAATATTTCTTAACCATGTTTATCCTGAAATGAAAGAACCATAACGACGAAGTAGACCATAACGTAAAGAATAAATGAGTAGACGAAATAGGACGTTAGCTATTTAAATCATAACTTTATGGATGTGCTGTAAATGATCTTTTGTCATTATTTAATTACAATGTGTAGGTGGTAGTAATGGAAGTAAAGGGTCTCAAGTCGTTAGCGCCAAACCGAATAGTCTACTGTACTATGGAAGTTGAGGGAGGAGACAAACTGCAGACTGATCAGGCTGAGGCTTCAAAACCTATGTAAGTTTGATATTCTTACAATAATTTTACCGCATGTACATCAATAGTACAAAATTAAAAGTAAAGTAATGAAAAGTAAAGGGCTTAAATTACTGCCCTGAGGAACCCTCACAATTGTGTAGCTTCGTAAAACAAATAGTATATATTTATTAACAATATAATATTAAAAACTACACATCAATATTTGGCCAAAACATACATGTGATTGACATGAAATGAATTATCTTGTACTATGAAATCCCCATAAAAACAATAAAAGCATTGATTAATTAACAGGTGGGACACCCAAGGTGATTTTAGCACGACGCAACCTTTACCTGCTGTGAAAGTGAAGCTGTATACTGAAAACCCTGGAGTCTTGGCCTTAGAAGATAAAGAATTGGGAAAAGTGGTGCTGAGGCCTACGCCTCTTTCTAATAAGGTAAAAAGCAAATTGCACTGTTTCATATTATGTTTAATAGCAAAGCAATAGAGCGATACCTCCAATGAACACTACGCCAAGTTTATTTTTTGGCCAATTTCTGTTATTTTTATAAACTGTCATATTTATTTACTAATATTGTTGGACCCCGGCTGAATCCGTCTCGAAACGGACCAGACTATACTTCAATGAATCTCATAATCTTCCGTTTATTGAAGCTTGTTATTCTTAAGCAGACTGTATACTGTCGACTGTAACAATATGATCTATGTCTATCTGACTTAGTAATTAAACAAGTCACAATTTTTTTTACGCACACACTCCTCGTACGAGGAAAACCCTGTATCATGGGTGTCGTGGACACACACATAAACCACCACATATTACACGCAAAGTCACAAGAGAAGTAAATGTAGGCCAAACAAATATTTCTCCCCGCCCGGGAAACCGGGACCTCTGCGTGGCAGTTCAGCATGATAACCATTCGGCCACGGAGTCACAAATATGAGTGCACAATTCTTACAAGATTCTCATATATAATTATGCCGATACAGCGTCTCTCACACCGGACCTATCAATGCGCCGCGGACGCCGCCCGGCCAATCAAAACCTCTGAATTGTTCGCTTAATTCTACTCTTACTTCCTCTGAGGCGCGTCTCGGGTGTCCCTAATAAATATTAGCTGTCTTAATGTGCTGTGGTCTGTACATCCTGTAGTGTAACAAAGCTGTTCTTTAGGCAATATCCCTAAGTGTATCGTATATTTTTGCAAGACCTTTATTTATAAGTTCGCAAGTGGCACAGCACGGCACGAGTTACGGCACGCGAACAGATCGCACAACGTAATACACGTGTGCAACTCGCAAGCCTTTCGCAAGCTTTTGTAATCAAATTTGTACCCACCCTAACATGAGATTATAATGTCATAAAACTAACAACCATATTTTCGCAGCAACGAGCGAAATGTAGTCTTAATTGTAAATCTATTTTTTACAGGCTCCAGAATGGCATCGTATGACTGTACCAAAAAATTTGCCAGATCAGGATTTGAGAATTAAAATAGCTTGTCGAATGGACAAACCGCTCAATATGAAACATTGTGGGTAAGTCTGAAGGCGTCTTCCCACGGCCAATGGTGGATGGACTCGCCCATTACGCGAGCTCATGCAAATTGACATCACGGGCCGTTGGAATGCACCCTAAAGTACAGAATTTTCAGAATTTAATGCGCATACTCTTTGTAATTTCTCTTAAGTTTGTCGTTATGATTTCGTTAGTTAATTATGAGTATTATGAACTAAAATAGATTATAATGTCGTCGCCTAACTTTCTCAAACTCATATGTTAAAGCATAAAGTTTATGAAATGCAAAAAATGGATTGTAAGTATACGCAAACTTTGCAGGCTGATGTCACATCACATTCCTTCATAATCGCACACTGGCTTTTATCTATTCTTAAAGTAATCCATCCAAATTAACGCCCTTGATAAGAAATTTAAGATAAATAGAAAGTTTTACCATCTCCCAAATAATCACTCTATAAGATACGAGTTTGAGAAAGTAAGGCATCGTATCCATACATTGAAAAAAAAAATCCCTTTGTTGCATTATGATTTTTAAATATTTTATCTTGTACTCTTGCCATTTTATGCTGTGATATTAAATTTTATGTTTCGTTATTTAATATCAATGTTTAATGTCTAATATCCCTAAAGAAATAAATAAATATATAGGAAATAAAACTGTTTTTCCGGATTTAAATCAATAAAAAACAAATCGACGTTTCGGGCCCTTTACGGGCCCTGCACGCGATTTAAATCCGGATAAATAGTTTCTTTTCCTATGTGTAAAAATCGCGAAAACCTAATAACTCGATAAATAAACACAGTTATATTTTAGTTAATATACGCTTTCATATGTTGTATACATTTCAAAGACCGCAACAAGAATATCAAAAGTTCCAAAAACGAAACACAATAATGAAATAAAATGTCACAAACAAATCAAGTTACAAATTAATTTGGTCAAGAATGATAACCTTCAAGATAAAATCTTACATCTCATTTCCTCTCAAATATTTCGTTTAGGTCATAAAAATTATTTTTATTCAACCACTTGTACAGCTTTGTTTCAAATAAACTTAAGTGTATAATATCACAATAAAATGTCAACACACATTTAACAACTTTTACTGTATTTAGCAGTCATAGGAATAGTGTCAAGTCCAAGTCTATTCAGGTTTCGGCAGAGTCCAGTATTCACATCACAGGCTTTCTTAAACAAAAATGTGTGTTTTCGTACAAAGATACAAATTTCGTTTATATATAGTGATGGTAGTGGCAACAGACCAAGGCTATGAAACAAGGGTCTGCATGTTTCGTCCGGGGGAATTCCACAAATTGCTCTAATGCATTTCGTTTGTCCTACAAAAACTCTGTTTCGATTTGTACTATTACCCCATACTATAAGACCGTAACGTAATATGGATATATTTGTTATATTTTTCAGTTTTTTAAGGCATATACAAACTTATTGATTTTCCGAGCATACATTCTCGACTATACTATATTGCAGATACCTCCACGTAATTGGGAAATCAGTGTGGCGTAAATGGAAACGACGATACATGGTGCTAGTGCAAGTTAGTCAGTACACATTTGCGCTCTGCTCTTACAAGGACAAAAAGTCTGAACCCTCTGAAATGATGCAGTTGGATGGCTTCACTGTTGACTATATCGAACTTGCCAGTGGTAAGTGTATTGTTTAAATTGTGGTACAGTTTTAAATTTCGAATTTTTCATTAATGATTTTCAAGAAAATCACACCAGTTCCTCGAATCGAAAAAGGCGAAATTACAGACACATGGGACTTGTCAAGTTATGTCCCAGATCCATCGAGTATATAACCAGAAATAGAGACGAAATGTCATTTAATTTGTTTGAAAACTATTCTGCCAAATCATTACGGTGACAACAGCGCTCCGATTGGCTAGCCCGAGTTCGAAACAATTGACGGGTGTCGTCAATAGGTGTCTGTTTCACTTCAAATCGACCAGTTAACTTGAGCTTTGCTATAATGGACGAAAATTGCAAAATTACATATTTAATATTTAATTACGGATGAAATGTGATTCCGTTTGTTTTGTAATTAGATGTTTTGCTGTTTTTTCCACACCACCGAATAGAACAGCACGGCATTGTTACAGATATTATCTTTATTACAATAAATATAGAATATTTTTTGGAATATACGGAGACGTACACATAGGTCAGTAGTTGGCCTGTCTATATTTCAGTGCTAACAAGAGTTGATATTTATAAGAGCTGTATCGCTAATGTGTTACCAGGAATATATGGCCCTTATTTCGTCTCTATTTCTGGTTATATACTCGATGCCCATATCTGACGGGCGCAGTGGCAGTACACGTCAGATCTTTGTGATTTAAAGCTCTGAGTGGCACTACAACTGTTAAGGACAGGTGTATCGCTTACTACCTTGACAGACGACGACATACGACTTGTTCGTCCCGTCACTTACGAGTAGTACTACAAAAAAATCGTATTTCACGTTATATTTGTTTCCCACTTCTGAGTGCATATTTTGTCAAATTATAATCCATACAAACATATTCAAATACATTGGACCGTTGTCAAACAAAACTCGAGGTATTGATAACAAACAGATATTAATTTACAGTTTTGTGTTAAACAACTGTTTTTAAAATATGATGTTGATAAAATTTCAAAACGATTTATCAAGACAAATTGATTGTTTTCCTGCAGATTGATTCGTTAGTTAATAAATGTCACAAAATCATTGAAATAATATCTTATTACAATAGCTTTTTCATGTAGATAGATTCAGTAAGTATGTACATTTTTTGCGTTTTTTTAAATACATAAAATCAGCACCCGCTGATGTTTAGGTTAAAAAACCAGTCGCTGATATGTAAAACTCCTGCATCTGCAACAACCCTGATAAGAACTACCTACATGAAACAATACAAACAAACAATACAAAACAAAATAGGTATATTTTCAAGTTTTTTTTTTTTAAATGTCCACTATGTTTTACTACCTTGAAATTGCTCCACTAGTTACAATTTATTCATAACAAAGATCAAACGCTTAGAAAAAATTCCTTGGATCCGGCCGAATTCTAACCGACGCCGACGTTTTGTAGCAAACCGTATCTGAAGCTATGCCAACTAAGTCGCGGAACGAACCAGCGGGCATTGCGAATTTTTCTATGTGCTTGTTGCAGATCGTTATTTTTGGTTTTTAACTGCTATTTATTCCGTAGCGCCATCTATGAGAAGTTTATTTCTTCACTCAGAGATTAGAAACTAAGTATATCTTAAATGTTAAGCTCTCCTAATTAAGCATAAAAAGTTATCGTCTAAATTCGTTCGTAGAATATTTTAACCTCTCTACTGAAAAGTTGTTATTTTGGACATTTGGCCTTATTACACCAAGATTGTGAAATTGTTACATAGCTTCGGTTTTATTGAATGGATGATTAATTAGTTTGTGTTTTTAGCTCAACTCATGGTGGGACAAGGTAAGAACCACACAGTAGGTAAGGAACACATTTTATTTTTTTATTTTTAACAGCAAGGTTAGTAAGTTGTCATAACCACGGAAGAAAAAAGCAATGAAAGTGGCAACAGACTCGATTACTATCGGAACCGATGTCGCCAAAATTTACTTAAACAAATGGTAAACACTACGAAATCTTGATAATGATTGGTCATAGTTTCTAATTTAAAAAGATGTATCAAATTCTGGGTTGTTAATATAATTTAAACTTTACCCAGTCGCTATATCGTTGAAAGTTCCCTTTATTGCAAATTACGTTTTGATTTTATATTGAAATTTTATTCAACATTTGCATTTGCACTCCAAAACAGCACAATAAAGCATTTTACTTCGATTTTACAAATCAAAAATGGCGGACTGAGCTCAGTTAGATCTTTCGAGACCTATAGTTGGTACGCGTTGGACGCTAACTAACCACTTCTACTGTTTTATTGGTCTGTGGTTATAACTTTATAAAAAAAAATTATTCAATTTTATTTCAAACATAATTCATCATTTATATTATACAGTTTTTACTTCAGAATTTACTAACCTTGTTACAAATAGTACGTAGTTTTATTTAAAACAGTACTAAAATTTTATCGATACTGTAGCCAAATTCGATGTAGAATAAATATGTCAACAAACAAAACATATGATGTTCTGGATTTTCATCTCAGATTGTTTTACAGTTACTAAGATAGGAAATGAAACTATTTTTCCGGATTTAAATCGCGTACCTATATTTATTTTTTCAAACTTTTTTCTTTACAGGTCCCACGGTCACGGTTGATTTGACCACGGGACCTGTAAAGGGCCGCCGAAAACGACTTAAATCCGGAAAAATGTTTCATTTCCTATGTGTAATAATCGCGAAAACCTAAGAACTCGATGTGTACACCAGTATAGTTACTAAGTTTTAAATTTTTCTCACCGAAATTCGATAAAGTTATTGATAATACAAATCTAACGTCATCATGTATGTGATTTTTTTTCAAGTCGCTTAACAATTACATAAAAAATCACCAGTATTTAATTATTTATAATTAATTCTAAAATAAAAATTATTTATAATTTAGTAGCATCAGGGCACCTTGTGGAAGAAGAGTTCATCCAGGGTAGTACTGCCACCTCACCTATTTCTTCCACCAGACAGTAATGTGAGCATTACCGTCTTCCGGTTTTGAAGGGTAAGGGTGCTGGTGAATACAGCACATGGGACTTGTCAACTTATGTCTCACAGGGTCGCGAGCGCAGTAGCAGCGTTCCTCAGATCTTTGCGATTTAAAGCTCGCGTAGCTTACCATTAGGCTTGATATTATAAAAACTAATAAAACGTGTCACCCCTAAAAACTTTTTAATTTGAAGGAAGAGATTGCAAACATCAGAGTTTGTGTAGCAATTCAAGTTCAGAATCGGAAATAGATATTGTATTGGCTGATGGAGATCTAATGGTAAATCAATGTAAAATAAAATCTTACAATTTTATTTCTTTTCGTCTACCATTGCCTATTATCTTGCAGTAAATTTAATATAAATAGGATTCAAAAACTCAATTACTTTATTCATAAATCATACGTAAAACAATAAGTACTTTGTCAACATTGTAATAGTTGGCTAGGTACGTATCCTTCTACTTAACCCAATTACCTACATACCTATTTAAATCCTATTTAGGGGAGAGCAGGCCATGAGCAGAGCAAACCTAAGTAATGAGCATTGATTGCAAAAATGTTCTTGACACCTGCCATCATTGGTTTGCCTAGCAACGTTTTGTTATTAAACATTCTACATCCAATTTCGCTGCAGTATAGTAAAATAACTCAAATGGAAACACGAGTTTCTTGATGATCTTATGAATAAAAAAGACCTAAAGATTCTAATATTGGAGAAAAAATATATCACAATGTAATCAATAATGTAATTATCACTACTTAAACTGATCAAACAATTGCCGAAACTTTTATTAAAGAAACGATAGTATAAAAACTAAACCTAAACACACCTACATAAAAATGCGTTTGCAGAACTGGAAGGAGCGAAACATTTCATGAATGCTGTAAGAGATGGAGAATCAGTCTTAATGGGAGTCACTGATGAAAATGAATGTCATTTGTGGGTTATGGCGTTATATAGAGCAACAGGACAGAGTCATAAACCTACACCGCCGACTACATCTGATTCGCATATTAAGATTATGGGAGGTGAGTCGACATCCACTAATGATCTATAGCTAATATACTAAAGGTCGAGTTACACTGAAAGAACAGCAGCCGGAGGAGAGTTGTTGGTGCAAAGTATTACTTAGCATTTTGAATCTTATCTTCTTAGGAAAAAAATTCAAATTGATTTCAAGTGATAGATTGTATAGTGCGGCGACTAGTTCAAAGAAGCACTGTGCTATCTTCTAAAAATTTAAAGAAAGAAAAGTAGTCTATGATAACAAAAATGAAAAGAAACTTAAGAGCTAACACGTAATAAAAACAATTACATTTAAAATATTATCAAAATTGTCTTGATTTGGTCCAAGCAAAAACTAGTACTATACGTGTAGTATATGAGGTGGGGTGGAGTATAATAGAATAAAACTGATTGGTCCGCATTGTGTGTGCGAAATATCTTCTAACTTATTTGTGCTTAAATTATTATTAATCCCAGTAGTAAAGTGCCTCCGATTACACGATATAGACACCTTGATATACATATAGTGGAAATTTATTAAAAGATGATTTGAAAGAATTGCATCTTTACATATTGTTTGTTTTTGATTGCGGGATAATGTTACAGTTGATTTTGTGACTAACGTTAAATAATTGCATTATTTATCTTTAAAGACGCTGACAAGGCTCGTAAACATGGCATGGAGGACTACATCCAAGCTGACCCGTGTCAGTTCGATCATCATCAGATATTTTCAATGCTGCAATCGCTTACTCTCAAATATCGGTTGCAGGATCCATACTGTTCATTGGTAATTATCTTATCTAATATATCTAAATTTATGGTATTTATTATACTGTTATTTTCATCATTTTGATCTTTTGACTGCATTACATTCTTTGTTTCACCAGCCCTTATTGTTTCATCTTTCAGGGTTGGTTTTCCCCTGGCCAAGTATTCGTCCTTGATGAATACTGTGCAAGGTACGGAGTCAGAGGTTGCTATCGTCATCTTTGTTATCTCTCTGATCTACTGGACGTGGCTGAAAGCGGGCAACAGACAGTCGACCCTACATTGATGCACTATTCCTTCGCTTTTTGTGCCAGTCATGTACATGGAAACAGGTGAGTGGATTTTCCTTAAACTTGTTTAGTGTATGCCTGTGTATATACATACGAGTAATAGGAAAGCTTCCCTGTAAATATATTAGCACGGGCCACTAAGATACTGTTAATACACCACTGTGTTGTTGTTAGTGACTAGGTACTGTTTCAAACAACTTCTACAAAGCATTTGATTTCGTGTTTCAAAAACATTTATAAAATTGATTGGTAATCAACTTAGATTTTAATATTTGTCATATTAAAATAGAAATACGATCAATGTGTGCTTGTAAACATTGTAATTATGCAAAAGTAGACGATATTATTGATGGTAGACTTGGTATGCTACTAGGTGACACTCTAGGCCCACAACTGTTTAATGTTCACACTATATATTAGCTTGATAGATGTTTTAAACATAGAGTTGTGATTGAATAACCTACAGGAAATGTGTTAAAATTTAACTTTTTTGTCTGATAAAAACAAAAAGTCAATGATAAAGTTATGATGTTGATAACCTGTACAAAATTAAAGCCATCAATAATAAGAAATAAATAGTTTCAATCACAGCTCCTAAACCCAAATATTCGTAAAACACACGCCTCATAATCGCCTCACACGTAGGTGTCTCGCTTCCTGTACTAAAATCTGGACTGCCCCTAAGAACTTACTGAGCTCTTAACTGCTGTAGGTGTGCTTAATGACTCTGCCTTTCCCATACTAATACTTACTGTTTCCGCGGTTGTGGAGTTTGCAAAGTTAAGAGAATTTGCCGAAAGGCATGTTTAATGTAAACAAGTTAAACTTTTAAAAGAGAATTTAAACAAATTTAAATTAAATGATCGAAGCCTCTATAAGAGCGTATTTATTACCTGCAACGTATCTATAACACTGAACGATAGTTGAATAAGAAAGTAAATTACGAAAAAGAAAGATATATGAATAAGGTTCCACTACCTAATACAAATAGAACATAAATAGAACTCAGTAACTGCCGACTCCACAGCCCTACCTTTCCTGCTTGTGCCCTTACTAGAGTAAGCTCCACAATCGAAGTGGTTCACAGTACCGCGACGTTGCCTGGCAGGCCAGACGGAGTGGGCAGCATCACTGTACAAGAGAAGGAGAAATTCGCAGAGATAAAGGAACGATTGAAGACGTTGCTGCAACATCAGATCACAAACTTCAGATATGCGTTCCCGTTTGGACGACCTGAGGGCGCTTTGAAGGTATGAGAAAGAACCTTTTGGTTATCGAAGAAATATGTATGGTATGGAATTTATCATCCGCTAAAGACAAAAGAATGCTTACAAATAAAAGCATGGAGGGATTTCGTTATTTTTTTTGGTCATTACGTGTATGTGTATCGAAGTCATTTTTTGTATTTAGGTCATAATTCTTATTCTACCTTTACTTTAAACCAATTCTGAAAATAGAATCTTGAACTGTACTTTACCTATACCTCTATAATATGTTCAAAGTTTTTCAAACAAAAATAGTGTTCCTAACTTATAATCCAGTTTAATACCTGACCATTTTTCAACGTTTATTCTTACCGGGCGCAAACCACGAGCATATTACCTGGGAGTTAGTAGGTGCGAGAGCGTAATAAAAGTCTTAATAAGAAATTAAGAACACAATGTTGGTCAAGACTTCCGGTTTGAGGTAAACCCACTCTTTCCTAGAACTCAATATTATACGACTTTACCCTTCCAGGCTACATTATCTCTTTTGGAAAGGGTACTAATGAAAGACGTAGTAACACCCGTAGCTCCGGAGGAAGTCAGAGCAATGATCCAAACGAGCCTGGAGAATGCCGCGTTGTTGAATTATACACAACTAAGCCAAAAAGCCAATATTGAAGGTAAGGAAGACTGTAAGACTATCGTAGAAAACTATCAAGTGATCAATCCGGAAGTTCCTTTGCAAAGACCACATTTATTGGAGTCATTCCTTCAGCAGAACACTACTACATCTCTATAAATTGGTGTTATTAAATATTACATTGATTTACTTGACAATTCAACAGAGGATCTAAGAGGAGAAACAATGGTTACGCCAGCAAAGAAACTAGAGGACTTAATCCATTTAGCAGAATTGTGCGTGGACCTCTTGCAACAAAACGAAGAGCATTACGCGGAGGTAATGTAACTTTAAATTTTTATTAAAGAGAGAAAGAATAGTAACTTTGTAGCAATTTTGGAGTATCATGGATGACCTTTTTAGATCGAAATGACAACGCGTGAACATATTCATCAGGTCTATTACGAGAATTAGTCTTTACGAGAAATTGCCACTTTGACAAGTTGCTAAAAATGTATAAGATGCTTGATTATTCACGAAAATAGTGACAGTTATGGTTCAGTAAGTATCGCAATTATGCGATCCTATTTCAGAGCTCATGATCATTGTACGATCGAGAAAACTAAAACAATATGAATCATGAATTATTAGCACTTGAAGAAAAGTTCTAACTTCTCTTGTAGAACTTGCAAATAATTTATTAATATTCTAGAAAACGTCTAAGAAAACATGATTATTTTTCGCCAATGACGCGCGTATTATCTTGCGTCCATTTCTGTTCTTTTCCAGTCTTTCATATTATAATTTGACATTTAATGTTTTGAATTTTTGATACACCAAAATTATATTCTAGTACCTATGTCAATGTCAATCCTGAATGTCGTGATTTCTGTTAAGGTAAAACTTTTTAAGTTTTTGACGGTATTACTTTTTTCATTGTTTAAAATCTTCTTGTCTCCTCTTAAATGTTTTTCATCTCTACTTTGACATATTTTTGGCGATCAATGAATTTAAAATGTTTTACCGAAATTGTCAATGTTCACTGGTATAGCACCCTACTCTCCTGTCGCTGCTAGTGTGCGATATGACCAGACAGTATATTTATTTATAGAAAAACTGAGCTCAAAATAATAATAATACATCTTTAGTCGCAACAACTGTATTATATATATATTTTCATCTCAGTTCTGTGTACGACGAAAATTATAACCTTTCTAACAAAATAATCTATAGATTGGAGTGTTTCTTTGACTTGTTGTATTTGGTCGTATACGTTATTTACTGTAGTAACCATGGAATAAACAAATTAGTGGAAATGGTATCGCGTGGCTTTAGTACCAAAGATTTTGTCGCTAAACGCATACTACATACTAAGATAACATAGTTTTCATTCGATACAATTATTATTAGACATACTTACACATACCTGTACGGTCTGTCTGTACAATACGTTCAAGGTAAATCGTTTATTCAGGTCAGCAATTTCTTTTGTCCAGAAGAAAATCGGTCTAATCCGCTGTTGTGCGTTCACGTAAGTTAAAGCTATCAAAATATCGTTGAAGTTACGTAGTCGTTCGATCGAAGTCATATCAAAAATGGGTATTCACGTATCACTTGAACGAACGTTGATATGAGTAGAATCGAAACGTAACTACTAATGAACGACATCTTGGATTGTGGAATTTGACATTTAGTCGTCGAAACTCTATTGAAAGAACTTTCAAAATTTTAGCAGAATACGTATGACTTGTCGTTTAGAGTCGATTCGAGTTCGATACATATACCAGAATACGCTTTAACAACATTTGGATCGAACGACTTTAAAATTGGCCTCGACGTTCACTGTCACACGTGAATACGAAAAAGCAGTTCAATGAGTAAATCGCTACGATATCGTATCGGTTTAGTTACGTGAATCATCCCCCAGGTCATTTATAGCGGCTGGACGTGACAATGCTTTTCGTAAAAAATGATCCATATGTGAAGGTTTAATATCAGTAATTCTAATATGAACTATTTACTTTTGGAGTTCGGATACTCAACACTGGGTGGCACTATGTTCAATAGTTGTTATAGGAATTTTCCTAAAGGTAGAAATTCTATGGAACACATCACAACTAACTATGACTACAAAAGATTCACTTCACACTTCCGCTAACTTCGTTTGTTCCATGGTAGTAACAGACAAAGGTTTATTTATTTTCCTGAATATTTTATGTGGCTTAGTCGTGAAGTGAATATGAGCTTTCAATTCACCTCACGACGTTGGATGTACGCTAAGTACTCTATATAAATTTTATATTCCACTTCTATCTTGACCTTTTATCTCTCCGCAGGTTTATAACACAAAACCGGATTCTAGCGGTCAACCAAATGTAACTACTCATTTGTAATTCTCGGCTGATCGAATCACTTGTCAATCGTTTGTTCACTCGATCTTGATCATACTTCACTCTGGATTTGATCACTTTTTTAAAAGGAGTAGACTCAAGTTTTTCAATAGTTAAAATAATACTCGCTTGAGCAAATGCATAGATGTTCGATAGAGGAAACAGCATTGCATGGATTTCAATTTAATAGTTTAGACTTGCAATTACAGATTTGGGACTCCAACTTTTCATTCTGGGCTAGAAATACCAAAATTTTATCATTATGATCAAGTTTCGAAATTGGCAGGGATTTTTTTATTTATGTCTATAATGAAAAGTCAACTGACTGAACAGTCTACTCCATACTTTACGTTGACATACAGTATACATTATAGTACAGATTCGCTGTAACAGACATTTTAGGATACTACAACACATTAATAACATTACAAACAAGTTTTGCTTGTAGAACGCTACTCTTTAGTACAGATACGCTTGCTCCGGCTACCAACACATCTCTCTTTGCGTATGAAACATCTGACACATCTAGTACATTAAAATTGTTGGATTTTGCACATTTTTCATTGACAACAGCATTATTATCAAATTGGAATACACTGTTTTCTACCGCTTCGATAGTCACATTTACTACCTTGTTCCAGTTTTCTATACCATCTTTTACAATAAGTATACAATCTACTGCAAATGTACATCGACATACACATTTTTCTTAGCGCTATATGAATATTGTCATTACTTAAAAGCATTTTTTGTATAAAATGTTCAGAAGAATGTATTCTTGGAGATGTCTTTGCAATTTCTGAGTCAATACATGAAAGGATGACAAATAGTGTTGAATCGGAAACAATTACCGTATAAACTATTTTATATTGTTCAATGACCAATTCGAAGACGACATTACATTGAATTATGAGACGGGAGTTCAATTCTCGGTTTATAGACTGCTTAAGGAGGAAAGGGAAATATATCTTTTTATGGAAGATGATAGATGAAACGGGAACAAGCGCCAATAGTAGATAGAATGGGCTATATTTTGTTACAAGACGCTGTTGCATGGAAATTTGTATATTTGATTAGTCTTTGAGAGGCACCTTACTAACTAACCCGGAATTAGCTTGAACGTGTCAGAAAAACCTTCATGTCCTTTTTCGCATTATAGACATCTAGCTTTTTTCTGACCGGTTTAATCAGATTCTGTGTCGGTAACTGTGGTGGCTCCCTTATTCGACTAATCTTTAGAGCTATTTTCAAAATAATCAAAATATTTGCAGTAGATTTTTAAAATGGCATATGTAAATATTTTGATAATTTTATTACGATAAGAAATTAAAAAATAACTGTATGTATCCCCAAAGCACTTGATTTTCTAATGCAAAATCTAATAATCAAATTTTAGCTCCTATCATTATAACAATTTCAGTATTGCCGAAGTACCTACACAAATCAGATTGAAACCTTTCTCACTGAAGCACTTGCCCAAAATTATTAAAAACCAAACCAAAGATCACTCAGCTAGTTGTAACGGATGCTTGTGGCTTGCTAAGCATAAAGTCATTTTCAATCTCTTCTGAAAAATGACAGTAACTCAAAAATCAGCAATTGCACTTGGTATATCACGATATGACCCAGATCTATAATCAACTGTGGTCATATGCTGCCTTAGAAACGAAGAAAGAAAAAAGAAGACATTATTCAAATACAACCCCGGAGATCTTGATAAAGCTTCATTTCTTAAATTTCATTGGAAATAAAGCTATTTTTTCAGACCTAAATCGCCATCACGGCTGACTTCTTCAATTTTAAGTCGATTTCCCAATTATAGAGCCCATTCAGCTAAACCTGGAATGCAGTCATACCACAGTCATCCGCGTCAACCAGTGAAAACCCTTACTTTCTAAACTTTCCCAAAACATAATCAGAAGCGTTCCCACCCAGGCATTCGCGTGGTTCTCGGAGCTGCTAGTAGAACACGCTGAAATCTTCTGGGCACTTTTCGGTGTCGACATGGATAGGGTGCTGTCCGAACAACCGCCTGACACTTGGGACTCATTTCCGCTGTTCCAGATTTTGAATGATTATTTGAGGACAGACGGTAAGTTTAGTAAGTGTCATATTTTTTTTTAAAGACGTCACCTAGTCACCTACTGTTACTTCGGACGACAATTTTTTAATCTATAAATTAGCTAGATGTATAACTATTATTACGCATAAATGAGTTATATATAACTGCGCCTCAATATACACGGACCAGAAGTTTATCCCAAGATGTGATCCAGCTTGATTTTGTGCGTATCATAATCACATCGTTTAATTTATAATTTAAGAATATTGTCCGGTTTCCCAGAAAACCTGAAAGGAGGGCGATTCCATGAGCATCTTCGAGAAACTTTCGCTCCTCTGGTGGTAAGATATGTGGATTTAATGGAGTCTTCCATTGCACAGTCTCTACATAAAGGATTTGAGAAGGAGCGGTGGGAAATTAAAGGGTGAGTATCTTCCTAACAACGCCGTACCACACCCTAAGTACCCCAAATAATAAGAATCCCTTAGAATCCAATCTTTGATATGCAATAAGTTCGGGACACTGACCTTGGCCCAATTTCCTGAAACATAATTTAGATGATGTCATCAAAAGTTTAGACCGTTGATACAATTTTAGCAATGGCTGCGCAACAAGTGAAGAGCTATTCTGGAAGCTGGATGCTCTACAATGCTTTATCAGAGACCTGCATTGGCCAGAACCGGAGTTTAGGTCACACCTGGAACAGCGACTGAAGCTCATGGCCAGTGACATGATGGAGACTTGCATCCAACGGACAGAGGCTTCCTTCCAGGTACTGTTTGATAAATGTACGTAATTACACAAGGCAGCGAATTTATTGGGCGAAAAACCTTTGTTTATTATATGAGATGAGAAATACTTTGAAAACAATGGATCACAATAGTGAATTCTTTTTATTCCGTGGATTGTCTCATTTGTATATGCAGATTAGAGTGGCTCAAGAAAGCATTTCAACCACTGTGTCATTTTTGATATTATATATTTGAAATATGATTTTTGTAGTAGGTACGGAGTTACGCAAATATTAAAAATGTATTATTATAAGGTGATGCGTTATAGTGCAGAGTCATGAAGTCGTAAATACCTACGTAGTTACATTGATATTAAAATACCTGTTTGTTGCATAATGGGCATAATATGAACTGTTGGTTCCTCCTTCGGTCTTCAAGAAAGTCCGGAATACAATGAAAGTTATTGTTCCAAATTGGTCATGTCGTAGTCAGCTTACAAACACGAAAAGTTAATTAATGGTTGGTCGCAGTGATAAAGGATTGCACTAAGAGAAGCCGTACGTTGCTCATTGTTGGATATCAGTTCCATTATCTCTCAAACTTTATATAATTTGTTTGCTCTTTAATTCAGAAGTGGATGGTTCTAATCCCTTTGTATTTATTACCAATCTATGTAATGCCTGTACTAAAATCGTTTGCAATAAATAAATGAATAATGTATCCCTAATGAGTTTCGGTATTTCTTTTCAGTCGTGGCTGAAGAAAAGTGTAACATTCATGTCCACTGATTACATCCTACCAGCGGAAACTTGTGCGATGGTCAATGTTGCGTTAGATGCCAAAAACCAGGCTCTTAAATTGTGTGCTGTTGAGGGAGTCGACATCGTAAGTTTACAAAATTTTTTTTATCACTGTAAGATTTACAACAAAACAATCCGAATGAGATTTACCTGAGGCATTTGATTAGGTGTCACCGCATCCCAAATTGCAAAATTGTGGGCAATCAGCAATTGTTGGAACAATCGACTTAAAATCAACATAAAAATAGCGTTTTATGGTGTCTATTTTCTAAATTCAGATGAATTTTAATTATTATTAAAGTTTATTATCCGACAAAACGTCGCTTCAAATAATAACATTGCAGCGTCTTTACAATATCCCGATATGAACACGTATATATCGTCATGTGAAATACATCGAGTGTTTTTAGTTCAAATATAAATATAAATGTAATTTAAAAATAAAACACGGTGGTAACTCGAAAGTTAGCTCCTCAAGTGAGAAGTGGAATACCTGTGGCCCCATCTACCAATGACTAATTTACGTAGATTTGTGAGTGCTTAGTAACAAATAACTCTCGCTAAACGTGAAGGAAAACAAGCCTTGGTGTGTGGCCCTCATCCCCATTTTGGCTAGACTTTGACTCAGATTAACTTGATAATGATGATGTAATATCACTATGTAACCTTAACCAAATCGAGTCTTATATCTAAAAAGTTAAGGCAAACTTTTGATTGAAGTAGCTAACTGATTACAAGGTCAGTCTGGTCACAGCTTTTCTCAAAGGGTTTTTATGACCTATGCATTCTAAACGGTCATGACCTTGAGTGTTGATGAATGTCCGCCTGTAGTAAACACTTGGTGTAGTCACTTTTTTATAATGAACTTTCTATTTTGACTTGAACTTTCCTTTAAATTGTGATTCAAATTCATTTCTTGATTTTTGTTTTGAAATTGTTATCTAGTCGAATCTGTAATCTTGTCAACAGTACCAATATCACACGAAGATGGACGCCCAGATCGAAGCGTGTCTACAAGCCATGATGACGGGAATGACAACACGGCTGTCAGCCGTCCTCGAAGCCACACTAGCCAAGATTGCTAGGTTTGATGAGGGCAGGTAAGTGGCTGAGCAAAATCCAAAACTCATGTTACCTGTTAAAGTCAATAATATTGTCCCTATCTACCGACCAGAGAGTTAGGGTTTTCCCGAGAGTAGTGGCATGGATGATAGGGAGTTCCGCGGAGACTAGAGCTCGCCAGTAAAATTAGGGTGCGGAGGGCGTCCGGGCCAAGCCCTCCGCCAGTGGTACGCCTTCACGGGCGTCTCAGGTCGACCCGGACTTGGGTATTGGACTCGACTGGGTTTCTGGTGAGCTGCAGAAACGGATATGTTCGTCTGCTCCTGTGGTATGTGGTCGAGGCGTCTGT